CCGTCCGTCCGTATCCGCATTTTTCAATTTTCCTGTAATTTACATTTTCGGCCGTTTCGTTTCGGTCGTTTCGTTTCGGTTGTTTCGTTTCGGTCGTTTCGTTTCAGTTGTTTCGTTTCGGTTGTTTCGTTTCGGTGGTTTCGATGGTTTCGGCCGTTTCGTTTCGGTCGTTTCGTTTCGACGTTTCGCCTTTTAGTACATGCCGTTTACAAACTACACATTTGATTGGCTTCTTTTACTTCAGGGACCAATCAGGGACTTTGTTTACAAATTGGCTTGTAAATTCCGATATGAATTTCCAAACTTGCAACAAACTTGTGAACTTTGTGTGGTCAAATTTCGAACATTTGTGGTCAAAGTTTTGTGAAATCGACTGTAACACTTCATCAAATCTATAGTGTGTGCAAAATTAGGTTTTTAACGTGTTCAACCCATCTGTGGGATGTAACTACGCACCTCTCTCCCCCCTCTCCCCTCGGTGTTTGCTGCTGTGTTTTAACAGCTTGTCTTATGTAGATTGCAGCCAAGCAGGGAAAGACAGTCAAGGATGTTTTTGGAGAAGTTAAAGCAATGTTGGATGATATTGGGCATACTTTTACCTTGAAAAGCATTCGATTTGTGGCTTACCTTTTGAGGAAAGTTTTCAGAAATATTTACTCTGGGATCAAAGTTAACATGGATGGACTGAACAAGGTATTTCATTCAACTGTCTTTGCTGTCTTTGATGCTGATGTTAAACACATCTATTTGATCTTATTAATAGGTTAATCAATGCATTATTCTGCAATATGTTCCAATGCAACCCACTTTGTGATTATATTCTCTATCAAAGCCCAGACAAATTTGCTTAGTCAGAAAAATAGTGTATTAGGCAATGTTGCAATTATGTTGATTATCAATTAGTTAATGAGCAGTCAATTTGTAGTTAATCAATTTCATAATTTATAGTAAATGTGTTAATTAGTAAATTCATAGTTAATTAGTTAATAGTTCATTTGTGATTCATTGGCAATTAATTAATTGGTTAATTAATATTTAATTGGTTAATTGCTGATTAATTAGTAAAATTAATTAATGGTGATTAATTAGTATAATTAATTAATGAGTAATTAATTAGTAATTAGCAAATTGTAGGTTAATTAGATGTTAATTAGCAATTAGTAACTTCAAAATTAGTAAAATCCGAATGTCATGCTAATTTGATCAAATATTTTATAACTGCAGGTGAGAGAGATATCAAAGGAATGTCCTGTGGTGTTTGTTCCTGCACATCGTAGTTATACAGATTTTCTTCTCGTGTCATTTGTATGTTACATCTTCCAATTACCTTTGCCTGTCATTGCTGCTGCACAAGGTAGGACTTCTTCGTGTTTAATAACTTGATTTGTCATGGTTGAAGCAGTCGTAACCTTCTGGCAATTGATCTTAGATAAGTGTATGGTAATTTTTCCCTAATTAACCCATTGAGTGCCTGCACCCTCCCCTTGACAAGTTAAATCATCTTGTGTTAGGCGGAGTAAAATGATCAGGATTAGGATGCACTTGGGCATAATGCAACTTAATGGGTTAATTATGAAATCATTCTATCTTGGCAGGTGTGATGGCACTGTAATTATGTTATATTATAATTAGACCATGGTTACAGTAGATTAGGATTACAGTAGACGAGATTGGCTTTGGATTCAATTAAGACATATCAAACGGTTATTCATTAATGTCTCAGCGAAAAGTCGTGGATTTTCTTATTTTTATAATGCCAGATTTTGACTGTTTTAAACACCCAAGTTTTAGAAACATAGCTATAAGATTCTGTTTGTTGATGAGTTGATATGCATTAATTTCAAAAAACGAGTCCATGCAATTTTCCCTGATATCTACTTGATCTTTTAAAGTTTGCTGTCTGCGATGATAAGAGAAATACTTTATTCTTTTGTTAGATTTCAAAAATATGAAGTTGATTGGTGGACTACTCCGTAACTGTGGAGCATTCTACATGAAGCGAAGTTTCCGTTCAGATGAACTTTACTGGGTCGTCTTCTCGGAATACGTGCAGTGTTTGCTGTTAAACAGTGGAACGACAATGGAGTTTTTCCTGGAGGGCACTCGCAGTAGATCTGGAAAAAGTTTACATCCAAAACAAGGTTTGTTGAGAGAGCTTTATACTGCATCATCAAGTTGAATGGATCTGAATAGCATATATTTTCTACCATTTTAGGTCTGCTTTCGATAATAACTGACCTATATTTCACGTCAAGAGTTCCAGATGTCATGTTTTGTCCAATCAGTATCAGCTATGATAGAGTTCTTGAGGAAACTTTAATGGCACGTGAACTGCTTGGTGTGCCCAAACCAAAGGAATCTCTCAAGGTGTTGTTTGTCAAGAATTCTCTTTTGATAAATATTCTCTTTTTAAAATACTCTCATGAAAATGCTGCTAATTAGTACATATTATTGTCGATTTCAAGTCACTTTTCAACACGCGGGTTCCAAGTTCGTTGCAAACTTGCCAATTACGTTTCCAAGTTTGAAAATTGGGCGCGAACTTTGCAAAAAGTTCGCAAGTACATTTCAATGGTTGGACTTCGTTTGTAAACAAATGTTCATACTCAATAATAATAACCAATTCAATGAAATATTAACCTTCTTGATAGACCAAGAACGTTCCATTGAATTGTTAATTTCAACTTGAACTATGAACATTTCAGTGCATGTTTACAAATTACAATAGTTCAAACATTAAAATGTACTTGCGAACTTTGTTACGAAGTTCACGCCCAATTTTCGAACTTGGAAACGTAATTCAGTAATTGCCAAAATGGTAATTAGTTTGCAACGAACTTCGGACTCGCGTGTTGAAAAGTGACTTGAAATCGACAATAATATTAATAATAGTGTAAATAATAGCTAATCTTATTTAGCATTAATAAAAAAAATAATATGGATAATAATAATAATATTAATTATTTTAATAGTAATCATGATAATTATTAATAGTATGTACTGATTACTAAGTTACGCAAATGCTGAGATATTGCGTTATTTTTTAGGGCCTGTTGAGTTCACGTTCTGTTCTTTCTGATAATTATGGTTATGCTTACATGTACTTTGGGAAGCCAATTTCTCTGAGAGAGTTTTCAGAAGGACTGGTGGATAGAGTTCAAAGATCTTGTATTCCTAGGTAGCTTTGAAGAATGACTCAATGTTTTATACCAAATCTAACTCTATTTATACCCCAGATAGCTCTATCAGTTCCAGGGTTGGCGCTAGGGGGGGGTTAGCAAATTGTTGCAACTTAGCCAACAGATCTTAAATTGCACAATGTGCGTAGATGCAATGCTGTAACAAGCCACTCTGTCAGCTGAATGATTTTGAAGAGTCAGTGCGTAACTCGTAATCTTTGATCTTTTCAGGTCAATCAGAGGTGAAGCCACAGCAGATGAAATGAATGTCGTACGAAAACTAGCTGGACACATTCTGGAGAAAATGCAAGAACACTTGATTATTCTGCCAAATATGATTGTTGCTTCGATACTTCTTCAAAATTCAACAGGAATTGATCTAGGTGGGATGTTATGAGGTTTACTGTCGGCTACTTTCTTTAAACTATACTGTGCATCCATCTCGCTTTTTTGCGGTTTGTGACTATAAAGCACGTCTGTGTTATGCAGACCCTATAGGCTTATATAGCCACGGTTTGTGACTATGAAATACGCCTGTTTTCGACATACATTATATAGCCACAGTTTGTGGTAAGTATGCCTGTTTTCAGCAAACTGCTGTAAAGTACGCCTGTTTTCGACGTGCCTTATTAGCCATTCCGAAGTTGATGAGTGGACTGGGGACGAGTGTTAAAATTGCCCAAATTAAGAAATGAACCAAATCACTAAAAAGACCACCTCAAAATTAGTAAGTATACAAAGTTTGAAAACGTTTACATGAATATCTTTCGAATAATAAGCTTTCGAAAATCGTGATATTTACTATGAAATGTATTGTAATTTTTGTTTTTGGGACGCGCGTCCCAAAAACAATCTTTTAATCAGTAATTTCACAATTTTCGAAAGCTTATTATTCGAAGGGTATTCATGTAAACGTCTTCAAACTTTGTATACTTACTAATTTTGAGGTGGTCTTTTTAGTGATTTGGTTCATTTCTTAATTTGGGCACTTTTTAACACTCGTCACCAGTCCACTCATCAACTTCGGAATGGGTAATTAAACCACGGTTTATGGCTATAAAGTACGCCTATTTTCGACATACCCTGTCATAGCCATGCATGGTTTGTGGCTATAACTGTACGCCTGTTCTCGGCATACCTTTACATGTAGCCATGGTTTTGCAGCATTTGACTACATAAAAATGCAGTATGTTGTATTTTCATGGGCGGCATACCTCAGCTGATTCCTAATAAAGTCGATTTGTAAGTCAGTTTAACTATTATATAAAAACCAAGAACTCGCTACAAATGGCAATACCATGAAGGAGAAATGCTTATTGGAAATTTCTCTGCTAGTCATTCTAATATACGTTTATTCCTATTTTTTTATTATTTCCAAACAGAGCTCCTGACAAAAAAGTACGAGGACGTCCTGGGTTGGTGTAAGAAGTGCAATATACTGATCGCAAGAAATGGTAAGATGTATTACATAAACAAAATGCAATGCATTAGTAAACGCGGTATAAATAAGCTTATTTGTCAAGCCTTGACAACAAGAAGGAATCAAGAACCAGACTGGAAGCATTCTTCTCACATGTGACTGAGATGAAACTAAGTATCATCAGAAAATTGTATACTACAGAAATTCCTAGAATTCACTTGATTTTCTTTTAGATGGCAACGATTTCAGACAGGATATAGTAGAAAGCTTGCAGCTACTGAAAAGTTCCGTGATGATTACTGAAGAGAACAAAATATTGTTACTGGACCCTGAACATTATTCTGAGGAATTTAAAGCGAAAGTTTACGCTATACTAAAGAAAGGAAACTTGAGCGACGACCAAGAAAAAATCACAAGCCATAGCGAACGTCGTTTGTTTGGTACAGACAGTAGTGGTACAGAACCAATGGCAATAGGTGGTTGTGATAAGCCAACTGGCGTTAGGGAGGATTTGTTGCTTGATGTGAAGACTTTAAGAACGGATGAGAAGAGTTATATTGTACATTTGACTTGTGTTCATCTACAACTGGCGCATCAGCGTAATCAATTGCTTCATTGGTTTTATATACCAGCTATGGTCGCTTTAGCTGGCAGGAGTTGTAAAGAAAGGGTGCCTGAAGGTATGTTTGTTTTTGATGTTGTTGATATGTGTGATGATTGTCATGGTGTACATGGTAATGGTTGTGGTAATGTTGGCTATATGGTGATTGTGGTGGTGGGACTGGTGGTAGTGTTGGTGGTATTAATTGATTGTGGTAGTGTCGGTGCATGGTAATGATCATGATTGGTAGTGGTGGTGGTAGTGATGGTGATGCTGATGATGATGATGGTAAGACGCTGGTAATGACACTGGTAATGATGGTGGTAAAGTCAAAGATGGTGGTAGTGATGGTGGTGTTGATAATGACGGTAGTAATGATGGTGATTGTGGTGGCAGTGGTGATTGTGTTGTTGTCCTGTTGGTACGTAGTGCATATATGGTGTCGTTGTCTTTGTTGTGTTGTTGTTGTTGGTGGTGATGATCGTGATGATGATGGTTTTGTTGTATGGCACAGCAAGTTTCAAAGGATGGAGAGGAAGAACGTACAGTTATATATGCTGTTTTCTGTTTATTTAGATCAACTTTACAACAAGGCAAAGTTGATTGGTGACCTAGTTTGCCTAGAGATAGCAAAGGACTCGTTTGCTCCTAAACAGGTAAAATCGAAATACATATTGCTCAATAGGCAACCCCCTAGGATCTGTATCCCGATATGTATTCTATTTTTCTTCAATAGGAGTTCCAATCCTGTCTAGAGAAGTTCAAACAATTGGAACTGTTTATTCGCTGTGATGGATTGTACACCATAAAACAGACGGAACCGTTTCATTTTATTTCTCGTTTATGGAGCGCTATCCTCACGTCGTACTGGGTTGTTTGTTCCTACATTCTTGACTCGTGTGATGTGGGGAAAGAATATCCTGCAAACACGTTAACACAGAATTGTCAGGAATTCGCACTACGGCTGTTTTTGAATGGTAAGAAACACTCTAACGTTAGTTCTCTCAGTTCTAAATTGTTCTCCCCAAATGTCGAGTACATATAAGGGCCGTCTCTCCAGTGTTTCTACACTACAGGAGAAACGTAAACTGAATCTACTGGATTGCTCTATCAGTTCCAAACTGGCTTCCTGGAGGTCCAGTAAAGGCCATTATTTGTCCAGTGTTGCTATGAGAGGGAACGGATCGTAGTCTGCGGAGAAAGCATGCGGAATTGGCTTAGTACTTACACTAGCTTTTTTTGTTCCTTTTAGGAACTGTACATGATCTGGAAATACAGAGTTTGGAATTATTTAGAAATGGAATAAAATCTCTTCGGAAACATGAGATAGTGAAACAAATGTAGGTATCCAAGTAAGTCGAGTACTTCAAAGTTTCGTTCCCTTATTTCTAGCCGTTGACTCATCAGTATTTATTTTCTTTGAATTTGAAGAAAGAGGGAATCCGACCATATGATCGTGATATCCAATAAATCAGCGTTGTATAATCTAACAGACGCTCTAGGTAAGCGGAAAAGAAACAGTAGATTACTATCATGTTATACGTCAGAAAATGATGTTAATTTTTTTCATTTTATTTGGTTGATTTTCTTGCTCAGTATTCAAGTAGGTCAATAATGTGCTTAACAAGCGACCTTTTCGGTGTGAACACGGATATCACCCGAAAATTTTATAGTTGATTTCAGCTGCATTTTGCAGTATAACGCTCATCTATAAATGAAGCAAAAAACTTTAAAAAATCTTATGTTTTGTCATATGTGTTGAAGATTACCACAAATTGACACAAACACAGATTTGAACCCAGTCCCCCTCGGCAATCTGACGTCCGTATCACAGAATACTACACAGAAGTCCATCTTCATTGTTTTTTGCGTAAGCTCTATTCGTCATGATTCGTCACTCAGCAAGTACCGTAAACAGAAGCAGTCAGGGGGCCCCTATAGCGACGTCCCTGCATGCATCAGAAGAAAATCGCACTATAGAAATCGCAGCAAGAATTGCAGGGTGTTTGCAGAATAAAAGAGCGTTAATCGTTTGTGTCTACCAGACCTAACTACAGCTGTCGACGACTTTTGTGGAGCTTTCAAAAATCACGGACAAAAATGAATTACTATGTAATAAACAATTTCAATATGAACGAAGCCCGTACGCAAGTATCCTGTAGGATAGCTACGGAATAGCTACCATTGACCACCATTTGCTGCCCCATGGCACTTGATACTGAAACCCACCTTTAAGGTCCTGTTTACATGATCCCCTTTACCGGGACGAGATGTGAGGCGGGATGAGATTTGAGGCGGGATGATTTTGATGTACTGAAATAAGTCACGGTGAACGATTCAGCGAAACTACATTATTTTTCCAGTGATAGATTATAGTATAATTGTAAGCGAAAGGTTGTTCGAGAGCAGTAATAATCTTCTTGAAGTACGAGATCTTCTCATGCACCGACATTTCAGTTCCTTTAACCGACATTTGAACTTTCGTTTAAACCTATAGAAGCATACTAATGAAGTATTCAACAAAAGATAAACTATGCAAAATAAAGACTTTAGTTATTAGTATAGAGCATACTAATCAGTTCAATAGTCTAGTTGCTATGATAAAAATCCCACTTTTCCTGTTTTTAAAAACCTTGCTCAATACATATATACGTTCAAAAACAGCCATTTTTGACCAGTAATACCTTAGTCCAGTTATACCTAAGTGTCCACGGAATTTTTACCATGGATTGTGACTGATTGTAGCTCCTATTTTGTCCCTTTACGATCAACTTCTAAGATACCAATATAACGATCTACATCACTTCATCTCAGTGGCGACGGTAGCCATGGCAACTGGTGCTAAACTTGCATAGGCGTACCGGGTGGGGGGGCGGGGGGCAGTCGGCAATATTCGATCAATAGTCGGGCAATTTCGGTTTGTAATAAAAAAAAATGGGACAAATTCTGTCAATTTTGTCTAAAATTAAGTCAATTTTTTTGAAAATTTTGTGATTTTTCGAAAATTTTGTTATGTTTCGACAGAATCCCGACAAATTTTGTTATGTTCGGACAGAATCCCGAAAAGTCGGGCAATTTTCTTTCCGCCCCCTAATTTTTTCCTTCCGGTACGCCCATGTAAACTTGCATCCACTAATATGTTAAAGTCAATATAAATGTTTGAATAATACAGATCATTAATCCATACCATACTCGTGCAGTGGTTACGTTCACATAACCATGGTGGTTTGATGGTTATGATTAACGTGAACCATGGTTATCTGTTCAACCGTTTGTACACATCACCATGGTAGTGATTATGTTCAACCATTATGTGATCATGTTCTCTAACTAATTAACTTGGTCAGTGTATGTCATTGTGGATCATCCATGAAGATCGATGCACTGTCTGCGCAGTTCATCAACACAGACCAACGTGCATGTGTTGTTCATATTGTCGGATGACCTGTCTATGTGTCTGACATGTCTATGACTATGTGTCTACGGCATTAGACATATCATGGGCCGGTTATAACTGGAAAGCAGCGCAAGTTAAAGAGGCATAGAAGCTAAATTCGCAGGGATCACAGAGGCCCCTTGTCGCCTGGTGATGCTAAACAAGACCAAGAAAGATAAGGTAGGATTAGCGAACTGATATCGCTTTGTTTTGGCCCTTTGCCATTCGTATTTTGTGAATTTTACCATATTTTATCGAGACACCGGCTCGTTCACACTCGCACGCCAGTGTGATGTGTTGTTGTTTTGGCTATATTTGCAAGTCCTTTAATAACTTTGATTTAGAACTATGTTTTGTGTTTTATTTCCGCTAGGGTTCGAATCCAGACACGGACAAGCCAGCTGATTGGTCATTTTGAGTTTGACAGCAGCTTGAAAAAACCCCACTAAATTATTATTAAGGGTTTTGAAATCATTAAGCTGCTGTGGTTTGTGTCTGAGCTACCTGAAATATGATTTAAATAGGATGACTTTGCCACAATCTACCCAATACAGATTTTATAATGATGTCATAATATCAGTCGACCGAGTAAAGGTGACGTCATTCATGTTGATTTTAACAATAATTCCCAACGTAACATGTTACTGCAACCAAAGATTATTAAAACCATTAATAAATGGCATGCTTCACACATTAATTAATTTAACATATATTATTGAGTTAAAATGCAACGTGTATTAACATGCATCTGTTTTAGACAATCGGAAATATAGATAATTCTACCGATTCCGATTGTCCACCGATAAGGCAAAAATCGGCCTGATGCCGATACCAATTATCGGTCAATCACTATAATTCCATCTAAACATTAGATATACACAATGCATGTGGGATACATGTTGGTCAAATATTTATTGTTTGACTTGATGTAAGGACTTCTAAGGTCAATTGTAGACTACTGTACATTACTGCCTACACTGAACCCCATATTTGGTATTTCAAAAGGTTTATTTGTTAATCCTCAACCCTCCTATTGCACAATGGGTTTACAGAAGAACATAAATTATTTCTAAATGTTTAAGCATGTACCATCCACAGGTGAGAAACATAGGTTTTACTGTAGTTTTGCTCTTTTGTTATAATTAGATAGATAGAAAAACTTTATTTAAACACGCTGACCCCGTCAACCGAAGCTGATTTCCACGGGGGGCGTGTGCAAACTATACAGATACACTAAAAAGCTATTTACAAAATTATTTATTTAATAATTTGTACATTATTTTTTTTTTTTTTTACAATATCAAGCAATTTCTAACAACCAGTCAATTTCTCTTTTGTCTTAGCTGGCCTACTGTGTTGTACAATATTTGGAAAAAGATCCGAGTTTGACAGAATTGGTATGGAGATTGATTTTTTATTTGAATTTTACCTTCTACATCTCTCATATTCATTCACAAAATAATGTTATGTTACAGGTTGTTGTACGATTGTTGAAATTCTGGCCAAAAGTTCACAGTCCCAAAGAGGTATGGTAAAGCATTGAACATGGCTTAATGAGCTGTGTACAGTGGTCGACACTTTGGAAAATATTGGAGGGTGCAAGAAACTCTTGTAGTACTGGTCTGTTCTGGGATTCCCCCCTACCCCTCCTGGGGCCAGTTGTTCAAAGCTAGATTAAGTCTAACCCTGAACTGTTTTGGTATTTTTTGGCATGTCCATCAGTCTGTTTAATTCAAACTTCAGAACATAAAACTTTTCTATTGTTTATAAAAATATTAGTAATTAGCTATTCCGAAGTTGATGAGAGGACTGGGGACGAATGTTAAAAAGTGCCCAAATTAAGAAATGAACCAAATCACTAAAAAGACCACCTCAAAATTAGTAAGTATACAACGTTTGAAGACATTTACATGAATACCCTTCGAATAATAAGCTTTCGAAAATCGCGATATTTACTATGAAATGTACTGTAATTTTTGTTTTTTGGGACGCGCGTCCCAAAAACAATCTTTTAATCAGTAATTTCACAATTTCCGAAAGCTTATTATTCCATGGGTATTCATGTAAACGTCTTCAAACTTTGTATACTTACTAATATTGAGGTGGTCGTTTTAGTGATTTCGTCACGCAAAGGGCCTAGGGAAGAGATTGATCTGGGGCTGGTTGTACGGAGGTCGGATAGCGCTATCCATACACCGAAGAGTGATTTTTTCAGCCTTTTTAAAATTGCCTGAAAATCTGTGAAAACACGGATATGGACCTACAATGGACCTTTCACCTTCTGACTAAAATTTAGATCTCAACAAGTCTAGACAAAAATTTTATCACAGCTTGAAAGAGCATCACAAAATTAGTAATATTCCGAAGTTTCGTTGCGAAATGTTGTAAAATGCGGATAATATAGCCTTGCGAAGTTTCCAATTTTCAGTCATTTTGTATTACGCGCGGGAAATACATACCTCCTTCGGAAAAAGAGTATGTATTTCCCGTTTGTAATACAAAATGACTGAAAATTGCAAACTTCGCAAGGCTATATTATCTGCATTTTACAACATTTCGCAACGAAACTTTGGAATATTACTAATTTTGTGATGCTCTTTCAAGCTGTGATAAAATTTTTGTCTAGACTTGTTGAGATCAAAATTTTAGTCAAAAGGTGAAAGGTCCATTAATAAACCCGTGAATTTATAAACCCGTGAATTTATACTGTAAATACTGAAGTTTAATCTAGGTACTAACTTCCCAACGAAGGACCTTCGCTCGAAACGTCGAAGTTCTCCTTGTATTTTTCATGTAGTTGTATCCCTATCAATCCGAAACTTTCTTATTATTGTTACTACCTACACTGGCACAAACCGTTCAATATTGATCTTGGTTACACGAATAAATTGAAATTTTACAGGGTGTTAGCCAGAAAAAAAGTTTTGTCCGTTAAAAGTAAATTGGGAAAGTTTTTTTGACCGATTGAGAGTCCTTGTGTAGGAATAAATAGTGTTTTTTTCCAACGTGTTTCTCCTTAGATGCAAACAGCGGTAGCTTGGTTTTGTACATTTAATTTCCGGTGAATGAACACTGAAAAATGCACCCGATGGTACTTCGTTTTGTATAGTTCTTTTCCGGTGAATGAATGGCACACGTCCAGGGGGGTGCAATGATATTAGTTACGATACAACAACGCCATTGCCTGAATGCAATAATAACGATCTTACATTTAGTGTTAAAGACAGTTCACATGGCAAGAAAGCTGACACAAAAACTCAAATTAAGGTACATGTATGAAATCTTCGATTCCTGCAATGTTACAGTAAGTAGTCTCCTCAGCTGTATGTGAGAAGTGTGCTTTCATTTTGTCTCTACCAAACGCGGCAGGCTTTCTCCAAGTAGTCTGGTTTTCTCCTGCAGTAACTGCAATTATCTTTGTAGGATCTGTGAGGACAACAGTTTACAACTGATAGAGCTACTGGGTATAAATAAAGCTGATGTAGTTCAGATTTCCTCATGTAGCAAGGTTGCGCCATTACAACTGGCTCTGACTTGACATCTAGAGAGACAGCTTAGAATTGATGGAGCTATCCAGTGTAAATGAAGTTAGTTTAGCTTAGGTTTCCTCCTGTAGTAACACTGGCTCTATTTGTGCAGGGAACTATGCCAGCAGGGAAGCGTGAAGTCTATTGTTCCGTAGAGCAAACGCCCAATACACTACAGGGATCACGATATCTACAACTTCGAAAATTGACGCCTTGCCGAACCATAGCCGAACATTTCACGATTGTTTCTTTTCCGAGTTCGACTTTTCTTCGGAAACCTTTCAGTAACATTTCATGATAGGGAGGCTTAATGGCAAATCAAAAACATGGCGGTTGACAGGTAAAAAAGTTGTTTTTGCATACTGTAGTTCTCTTCACTACCTTGATGTAAAGTACTTGAGAATGGCGAAGAAACAGACCAGAGGAGTAGAACTTGAGATAGAAAAAGCTAGAAATGATTCACGATGGGCAGATATCCCAAAGTTGTTGACTGATTTGGAGACATGCAAGTCAACTTTGTCAGGTATATATAATAAATTTAATATGTTCCAGGTTGATATCAACAGGCGTGAACAAGGTTGTGCGGCCCGCTATGAACAGTATTGTCAACATGTTGTTGCAACGTTGAACTGTATTAAACAACTTGGAACAACATGGTTGACTATATACAATTACTTTATATGGTTTGGATGGCCTGATCTAAACGCGCAGGAATGTTGCGAGTTCTCTTAACTCGAGCAACATTCCCAAGAGTAATTGTTTTATAAAATAACAACAACACGATAGTCTTCTGTGTTTGGATGACCTGATCAAAACACTGGTTTCGACCAATCAGAGCATGTGTTATATACATGTTATTTTATAAAAACTTGTTCATAGTTGGCTGCACAACATTGTTCATGCCTGTTGATATCAACCTGGAACAACCTGTGTGTTTTTAGCCATGTAGTTGTCAGTAACAATTATTTGTGTTTAATATAGCCAGCTGATATGTTTGCTATCAAAGGTAGAATTGTTTATTTATTGAACGACTAGCCCCCCTGGACATGCGCCATTTTTAGTATTTCCAGGGGGGTGACTGCTT